AGAGGTTTCGGTGAACCGCCTGCTCCTGGGGGTCGACAGGCTCCATAAGTCCACGCAGAAGCATTGCCGTAGCGGCGATGTTCTGGCCAACCCGAGCGAACTATGGGGGATCATTCCTCCCCCGTCCATGATGTTGCGCTAGACCTGGCGGGTGTGACCCCAGGTGCCGCTCGCCAGGTTTCGCGCACGGCACGCGGCGTGCTGCGCCGAGCGTGCCGGCGTAGGTGGCGGCTGGCTCTACTGCCTTTATCGTAGCTGCTCGCCGTGCTCCTGCACGCGCACGAGGGCCTCCGCACGAGGGTCCGGAGGGGTGTGAGTCTGTAGAGAGTCCGCTACCACCGGCGATTGTCCTAGAGTGTCCGCCATAGCACACTCTCGGGACAGAGGGTGGCTAGGCGCCACGATGTCACCGATGCTGGAGCCGTCACTTTCGACCTCGTCATCCATGAGGTCATGGAAAGAGGCAGGAGTGTAGCCCACCATCCCCACGAATTCGGATGTGAGAGGGGGCGGCGTCAGCATCTTTCGGAGCCCCTGTGCGTACGCGTCCGCGGGGATGCGAGGCCGTAGGGGAACCGGCCGCATGGCGGTTGTAGTGGGGACAACGGGGTCCCTCTAGAGAGTTGGTGGAAGAAAGTAAATAGCGAGTAAATAACAATATGTACGTTACTCATAGTGGGGTTTGAGCCCAGCGTGGGCTCGGAACGAAGCACAGGTGCCTCGTCGTTGAGGTTGTCGGGTGGCCCAGAGCCCATCAGAGGGACAAGTGCCTCCTCACGGAGGTGAAGCATGCCGAGCCGGTCGGCGATGAAGTCCAGGCTTCCGAAGAGGAAGGACTAGGATGGCTCGAAGATGGGAGGAACCCACATCCCAACAGGGGGAGCATGGGAAACTCCAGCGAGCCGAAGCGAGTCGTATCGCTTGAGCCCGCCATGCTAAAGATGGCAGAAAAGTGGGCCATCTGATGATCAAAAGCGTTAACGTACGGCGTCCTTCCCACGGACGGCGCCAACTGTCAGTGCAAAAAATGACCAACTAGTAAATATCTGTCGTTTTGCCGTCCGTTGTGATCTGATGTGGCCTAGCACTCAATAACATAGGGTTTATACTGGTTCAGACAACGTGCCCTATGTCCAGTTTGAGTCGGTCGGTGACTTTATTCTTGAGCCCAGGTGCTCAAAGTTTGCTGTGGGGTTACAAACGAGTAGGAATAAGATGGGGGTGTCAAAGGTCCGGTCGGACTCTAGACTGAAGAGTCGAGAGTGATGGGAGCTCCTACGTGCGCTAAGTGTTGAAATGTATGCTCTGTGTAGCTTTAGATTGTCTAAAGCTAGCAGAGAGAGAGAGAGTCGGAATGATCCGTCTGTTATTTGGTTTGTTCGTCGTCTGTCTTTTGTGTGAGGGCGCATCCCCTTTTATAGATGAAGGGGGCGGCCTTACAAGTGAGAGAGAGTGAGAGTGTGTGCGCATCCCCTAGTCTTGTCGTCCACGCCGTCGGGTACAAGATGGTTTGTCGGCGCCCACAATACTGTTGATGCCCAGATGCATGTGGTAGGCTCCATCGTGTTCTTCTGGTATGGAAAATGTCAGCGCCTACAACACTATTTGTGTTCTGACATGTCTGAAAGGTCGCAAAGCACCCTTCTAGCATGGCCAGTCAGTATTGTCTTGCAGGTATGCAGGGTACGGTCCTCGGTATTACGGTTAACATGAACGCCTCACCTTATCTGCTCCGCCTGATTTCTTGGGTCCTCACCGAGCGGGCGTCCACGTTCAGTCGTTCCTAGTCGGCTCCGATCGCGCCGGTCGGAGAAAGAGCTGTAAGCAAAGGTTTGGTGTACTTCCGGTCGGAGAAGCGGGTCGGAGTCGAAAGCGAGTGTCGTCCCCTCCTTGGCCAGGCTTTTCGGTCGGAGAAGTGGGTCGGAGTCGGAAGCGAGCGTCGGCCCCTCCTTGGCTAGGCTTTCTGGTCGGAGAAGCCGATCGGAGTCGGAGGCCTTCAGGTCGGAGACTGGATCACTCTTCCGGCATGTCGTTAGGTATCTGGGTTGGCCCAGGAGTTGCACGTCGTCTGTAATGTCGTGTGCTGGGCTGACCTTTTGCTAGGAAATGGGCCCATTAGAAACCCCGGGTTTATAAACCCGACAGAACCTAAGCTAGCTCAATAGTTATATTTCTTATAGTCTAACCCACGTTTAATTTTGTGATATGTGCTATTCATTTTATGCTATGTTCCCCCTTAATAGAGAGGCACATGCATGGTTACATCATTAATATGGTATAGCTTAGTTGGTTAAGTTTTTTTTTATACAATCTATCTATCTAGGTTTAAATCATCGACTCTACATATGTGCTCGTACCTTCTTTGATTTATTTATTCTAGATTTTTCATAAGACGAGTATGCATGCTTATATGTGAGTGTGTCTATAACATGATTCAAAAAAATAATATAGATATTTCATTCTTTTAGAGGCACATATGTGCATCTGAGCGTTTCATCTCTGTTGTGTTTCGTAAAAAAGAGTTACGGCACACTAGACATGATATATAGGTAGAAGAATAGTGTCTCGAGGCATCATTGAGCATCTCTAAGATTTTCCAAAACACACTTCTAATCTTGGTTTTCTAGCAGGATTAAAAAAAACTCTCTCCAATAACTTTTCTGATCTTTCGGCATTTGGTGAAAACGGCTGGGACATGCAGAAAGATATGTGGGGGGCGACTCAGAATCAGCTTTGGCGCAACTTCTCCCGATGTTTCCTCCTTTTCCGGACTCCTTTTGTCCTAGCTTTTTTCTGGCATGCCCTAGTCAAGCTTGGAGGCCTCTGGCTGCCTACTACTAGAGGGCTATGAGCCTATGACCGCTGCTGGCGTGGCCTTCTCCTGGTTGCAGCTGACTGGGATGGTGCTGCGGTGGCCGAGGCGCCCAGAAACAAGCAGAGCGTCCTGCCGACCCGGGGTGGAGAAAAAGAGAGACGTAGAGAAGAATATGGAGAAAAGAAGTATAAAGCCGGATCGGATGATTTGAAAATAGTTTGCGGTTCCCAAGACAAAACTGTCGTCTAACTTTTATGAGCTGAGATATTAGAAATCGTTGAAAAATCCAATAAATATGTTCCTTGTTTTTTATGGCTTGAAAACTCATTTGTTTAATAATTCTTTTTTTAGGACTATTGAAGATGCTCTAACTTAGTTAGTATTGGACGTCCTGAGATGCCAAGCTAGCTAGCTAAAAACAACAAAAATAATCAATAATAAGAACACCCCTTGCAGAAAAGGGTTAGCTTTCTAAAAGAAATCATGATAATGTTGTTTGACCAAAGCTAGCAAGGTAATAAAGCAAATGTTTCCTTTTAGCTTTCTGTAATATAGTGTACTACTAGTAGCATGTAGATCGATGCGTGCAATAATCGAGTATGCATTGCGTGCGACACTCACATTGCATGGTGCACAGAAGTGCGCCATCAGCATAATGTTTTATTTTTCTGTTTTTTCCATGACATATATATATATATATATATATATATATATATATATATATAGAGAGAGAGAGAGAGAGAGAGAGAGAGAGAGAGAGAGAGAGAGAGAGAGACTGCTCTGCTAAAAGCTTTCATGCATCACGGTTACATAAAAGTAACAGAAAAGATCGATCTGTATTCAGAAGCGAACGCATCGAAGTGCACATGCCATGATGGATGCTGAGCGCAAAGGCGCTTTATTTCTAGGAACTGAATCGTAAAGGCGAGCATGAACTTGAGCAGTATACTACGCTAAGGAAAAGTTGAAGGCATCTTCGGGGTGTTTCTTATCTTGGAGAGGAAAAGGCAAATGGGTGAACCATAAAACCCAATGACGGATAGATTTTGGACCGTATCATTAACCTTCCGTGTCATCTTGACACGCAGCAACTAAAACTAGAGCATATCCGAGAGTTCCTAAAAATTTGTTTCCAAAAATCATTGAGTTTTCTAAGTCGCCACAAAGTACTGAGAGCAACGAAGAAAGGTATCGGTACAGAAAGTGATCAACTAGCACTAGTACAGAAACGATTTTTGATCCACTTCGAAATTTGGCAATAGTCCCGGTATTTTTCGTGTCCGGGATTAGAGAAATCTTTAGTTCCGGTTGATAAAGGTTCCTACTCAACGACTACTGTGGTAGGCTTTTGCTACAGGGGACCTTTAGTTCCGGTTAGAGCTACCAACCGGGACCAAAGGTTAACTTTTACCCCCGATTTATCCCTTCAACCAGGAGTAAAAGTCTATTCTTGACTGAAGGCTTCGTCCAGGACTAGAAAGGTACTTTTAGTCCCGGTTGCTATCTTCGATCGGGACCAAAGGTAAAAAAGGCTAGCTTGGCCGGACGGCCTGCATAGTGGGTGCGTGTCCGGATCGGAGGAGATCGCTGTCGTCAACAGTGGAGAGTAGTAGTGCTCGTCTGTTCGACGACTACAATGATAGGGTGGGTGTCCTGGTAACTAGTTGTACACTCTTGTACACGTACTAGTGGAATGCGCGCGCCCTTGCGCGCGTCAGGTAAGTGTATGTGCTGTAAATAGAAAACATGTCTTGGCAATGTTTACAACTGTCTTATCTTCTCTCCATACAACCTCAAAGACAACATGAATCATCAGATCGATATTTCACAATTCATTAAGGCCCAACTACAGCTTTGGAACAAAGCAAAGTAAATGTGGTCATTATGCGAACCTAAGGTAACAAATGCAGGTGTCTCAACTAATTTCAAAGTTACACATTCATGTACAATTATCATGTGCTAGATTCATGATCCAAAGAGTCCCTAGAGTTTAATCCCATACAAATCCAGACCAACGAAACGGGCTGTAGATGTTGGCGTTTGTTTTTTTTATGCACTGTTCACTGTAAGGAGCACATATTCTGGTAGGAAACAAAAGCAGAGAATGGGGGTTCAGAGGACCAAATGAAGTGGAATGCTGAAGAGACAGGCACACGCCTTCTGTTTGTGTGCAAGAGAAACATACCTATTGAAGTGGCACAGATGAAGGCTGGAGCCACACAGGCGCCTAGGATGTGGAAACAAAATGTCAATCAATCTGAAATCAACAGGGAAAATGGTTGCTGAAACATTAAGTTTGGATCTATCTACTGTTAATAAAAATACTTGTTTAAAAAGCACTCCAAATTATAGCAGAAAAAGTCACAGTTTTGCAGATAAATGTAGAGCATGATGACTGTTAGCCGTGTCAGTTTATGGCATGGTGAATGTACCTGCCATCCACGGTAGATGAGCCAATTCATGTTGTTTGCATCACGGTAACATCTCCAAGTCAAAGCTCGCTGCATGGAGCGTCTGCTGTGAAAGCAGATTTGCTTGTAGATTCGCTTTGCTTAAATGGATGATAAAGCTTTGGTGGTATATATGTTACCTTGAAAATGGCGACATATAAGTTAAATGGTACTGCAATCTCTTTTGCAATTTCATCTGGGTGCATGCTGTATGCGTTTAGTCTTCCAATGCCTGTGTATTGTTGATGTGTATCTGAAATTGGTTAATGGCGATGGTAATTCATGATGTACCCTTTGTATTGGGTACAGATAATTGGCATACGATGGTGACGTAGTACCTTTGCTGTTTTGTGGTGCTTCCACAGAGGACCGATGGATGTACCGTGCTTTGAACAGGTGTGGCTGAAGCCTGTAATATGCATTAGATATTATATGAATATGTCAATAGATGACATGTCAGTAAAAAAAGATCATATTTTTTGGGGGTGCAATGGTAATGGTTCACCTGTCTGGCAGCAAGACACTATTGTGTTTCAACCTATGTTCTGGAACTATAGTAATTAGGTGTGTTATTAGCAAGAAGGGAAGCCTTTTCTTTAAGGAAAGGGGAACACTATATCTTAACTGTAGAAGTATGTGGCCAACTGCAAACTATGCATGAAGATATGATCGGAGATACATGCAGTAGACGATGCATTTGTCTCAGTACTGTCAAGAGTGATTTGCTTGAATACAGCACTGAGACATGGATTCATTCTATGATAAGACAAAATAATTTTGATTGACCTCATTTGCTATCTTATTTAGTGAAGCGGAACTTTCCTCAGAAAATAAAAATAGCTGATGGGAGCATTTGCTTTAATTTCTAGCAGGTTATGCACTATGTAAAAAGAAAGTCAAATTTTGAATGTTTAAGGTTTAAATGAACCAGAAGTGTTCATTAAGCACATCGGTGACTTGGATTTCGAAAGGCATTAATATTAGTTGAAACTAATTAGAGTACCAGAACTGTCATTTGTCCAGTGCACGTAGCTCCCGCTTGCGCAGGGTCAGGGGAAGGGTCCGACCACTTGGGTCTTTTGTACGCAGCCTTTCCATGCATTTCTGCAAGAGGCTGTTTCCAGGACTTGAACCCGTGACCACTGCGCCAAGGCTCCCCTTCTAAGACAAGCTAACATTCACAAATCATATTCCATTCATCGTATATCAGCAGTTGCTTTGTGATATAGGATTATGGTTGTTCACTTCTTTTCCCATTTTTCAGATCAATGTAATCCTAGAATATATGAATAAGTGAGAAGCTTTAAAGATAATAAGAGTGCAAAAAATCTGTGTGAAGTTACTGAAGCAGCAAGTATATATTGCAGTAAAAAACCCTAACAAATTTACCTGAGCAACCAATATCCTAAAATCTCAAATCACAGGCATCCATCAGACACAATCATAGGAGGGTACAGTTAAGGATTTAGCTGCAGCAACGAATGAAAACAATTTTTGGATGCATTTACCATACTATATATGTCATCTCACTCGAAGAACAACAATTATTGATGCCTTTACTGTACTATTTATGTCATACATATCACTCGAAGAACAACAATTACTTTGGCAAAGAAGGAAACAATGGTTATCAGAAAAGTCAATAAGCTATGATGCCTTTTTCATTATCCTAATCAAGCATTGTATGTTTGAAAAGGACAAACGGATGTTGTAAACCGATAAATCTGAATAACAATAGTAGAATAGAATAGAACCGGCAGTCCGGCACGTGAACGTGCATATGAATAACCAGAGGTTACAAATTCAGCAAGCAACACTATGACTATAGGTGGAAAGTGCAACGTAGATGAGGAAAATAGAAAGAAAAGTAGGAGTTTAGCCCACCAGTCTGAACAACAGCAACCTGCGATTTGTAGGAGCAACAAAAGTGTCTGTTGGATCTTTGAAACAAATGAGAAGCATATTTCCAATGAAAACGCTGACGTAGGTTGCTGCTGTTCTTAGGTGCAAATGCTGACGTATCTTTGGGGTAATCACTACCTGCAAACACAAATAGTAATTAGATGTGTTTTCTGATCTGAAACATATTTCCAATGAAAACGCAAAAGGGATAAGCAGACAAGGAACTTCATTGGCACATATCTAGAATTAATATGGGGACATATCTCCAACTAATATGGCAAAGAGTTGAACATATATATGAGGAACTTTTACAGTAAACATTTTCAATGCAAATGTTCAAGAATCTGAGGACCGAGGGTAAACACTAATCGTAGCACAATAGGAGTTCAGTCAATGGCAGATGGAAATGGACATTCCATAGATGTCAAAACTCAAGAGGAGAGTTTGATTAAGCCAACTTAGATATGCATAAGAAAAAGTATATACCAGAGCTATCACCAAAATTTTGTGCACCATCTCCTAAAGGAAGCACTGGTATCAGACAGTTAGGATGTGACTACGGCAGCCTTTGAGCTCTAGGTGCCTGTAATCCTGGCAATCAAATAATCTTAGTGAGTATCCCACGTGTTGCCACTGGTCGATGCAGGGGCAGTATTTAGTGCTGAGCTTTTTTTTTTTGATAGCTGCATGTAGCATGCATATTTATTTCTAATATTATGGAAAACATATATTGATGGATATGCAGAATCGAAATCACCTATTTAAAAAAAGCAAACACAGTCACATGAGTTCCAGTAAAAGGCGATAGTTATTGCCATCGGAAATAGGATCAATAAAAACAGCTCCTTGTCCCCATTGTTTGCTCAGTATGAAATATGTGGCAAATGTGTTATATGAATCGAGCAAAAAGACAGTCAGTGTATGTAATTGTGGATGCTATGCAGACTGAAACACATATAAGAATTACCTCATGTGCAGTGGGTTATAAGAAATGGTCTTGCACGCATCTCAGGAAGTCAAGAAGAATGACAATTTAACTGTGCGAGAGAACAGTTCACGTTATCAAATTCAGTAACACAAGCCTCTATCTTCGAATGGCGAGAAAGGGCTCCAACCACCTCTTTCTGGTTCTGGTAAAGGCAGAGGTCTATAAGATTCTGGAGCTGTACAACAAAAACTAACAACTGAGTTAAATGAACCATCATTCTCACTAACATGTACTGTATAGCAATGTATAAATGACAACCACACCATTTTGTGAAATCTGTTTTCCCCCCTAGAAAATGGGAAATGTTGAAATGATGTAACAGTTACCTGCCAAGAATAATTAGAGGCTTTTCTCTTTAGACGGAGGTTCACTATGCAATTCTTTTTTCATGCAAGGAGTAACTGGTACAAAGGATGGAAATCTATTATGAACCAATTTAAACATAACCATGTAAGTAGCGGAGAATAAACACTATGGTTGCGAAATTTCTGACACATACCAGAGAAAATCTGCATGTGCTGGCATGGATTCAGAGAGGACTACAGTGCCATTAGTAGCTGATCTTAGCCACGCCACATCTCATACCTTGCTTCATGTACCTCTGTCGGCATGGAATCAGAAACTCAAACAAAAGCATCATATGAAAATAGGAAAGGGCGACTGAATAAGAGCAATAAGCCATACAGATTCAGTGCCACTCCTTGCTGTTTCTAGCACCTCACTCAAAAGAGCTATATCTGCCAATATGTATAGAGATAACACATTTGGCGTCAATTTTAGGCACATAACCAAGCAAGGAGCACAGTCTAACGAAATCAGGAAGCAGGATCTGGGGAAGAAGGTACCGAGCGGGAGAGGAGGGTCATTACCGGCAGATGGAGCCGCTGAGCTGAGCCGATGCCGTCTCCGCCGGCGATGAAGAGGCAACGCGCTAGGGTTTCCTGTAGCGCAGCAGACGTAGAGCAGAGGGATGAGGCAGCGCGGGGGGCAGCCATGTCGGCGACCATCGGGGGGGACCGGACGCGCGTCGCCATGGCTGGTGGGGGCCACCGCCGGTGGCCACGCGCGCACGGCGCCGTGCCGCGGTCAGGGGGCACCGTCGCGCGCTGCCAGCGCCTCCCGCAGGGAGCCGGCGCTACGGGGCCGTCCGGGACGACGCAAGGCCGGAGGAGGAAGAGGAGGGGGCGAGGCGGGAGGAGGAAGAGGAGGAGCGGCCGCAGCCACCGCGGCGGTAGGCCAAGGGCGCTCGCGCCGCCTTGCTCGCGTCGGGTCTCGGGAGGGAGAGGAGAAAACGACGGTAGAAGAAGAAACCTCTGGAACGACGAGAAGCTGAAGCCGAGTATTTATTTGTGTGGCTGGATTCTGAGAGAAGCCGAAGCAGGATGAGGGAAGGTGGAGAAGGTAAAAAGGAGCAGGTGGAAGCTGCTTTCAGTAGAAACTGATTCAGTAAATCATGGCCGTATAACTCGAGATCTGACGGTGGTAAATAATTCGGGCGACGTGGCCGACCCCTCCTTCGGAGGAGCAGGCGCCCATTGTCTTGGTAAACTTGCTACTATGGTAAAAAAATCATAAATGTTTAGCACTCCTGCTAACATCGTCGAGCACATCTGTAGTTGAACCTGCAGATTTACTCTTGGTATGCATGGTACAGGACTTCATCATTTGCGTTTACTACTCCTAATATATACTGTATCTGACACTGACAGGTGCCTAGGCTAGCCGAGAGCACACATGAAAACAAACCGTACCGAAGAGTCACTGCCGCGCGACAGGAAAACGTCCTTCAGATAACGCTACAGATGTGCTCGACGATGCATACCAAGACCTTTAGTCCCGGCCGCAAGTGACAACGCCGCGGGCAGCAACCGGACGGGTCCCTACATCTGCACCAAGACCTTTAGTTCCGCTGATATTACGAGCCGGGACTAAAGGTCTTTTAGTCCCGAATATTTACAGGAGCCGGGACTAAAGGTCCCTCCCTATATAAGATGGTCGTTTCTTCTTCCTCCTCACTTTTCGTCTTCGTCGTCCATCGCCACTACAGCACGCCAGTGGAAGCACGGCCGCACCTTCCCCGCGCCCGAGCTCGACGCCGCAGCGGAGGAGCCGCCCGAGCAGACGCACCGCCGAGGACGATGAGCCCCGGAGCTGGCAACGAGACCCCCTCCCGTCCCGCGGGTCTCATCTTCCCCGAGACCGGCGGACCCGAATCCAGCGCCGCCGCTGAGGAGCACGAGCATGTCTGTGTCGATCCGGACCCCGAGTTCGGCCACACGGCGCCCCGTCCACAAGCTGTCAGCTACCCCCTCGACAACTCTCCCGACGTCCCCGACGGTTAAGCCCGACGCCGAGGCGCATCATGAAATGGCAAGATCGCCTTAATTCGGCGACCAAACCGCGAATCTCCACCTCCCCCTACATCTCGCACCAAAGCCGCCACGGTGACCGCCTTTTCTTCTTATTACCCTTTTGTAATCGGATGGATGTGTGTCTTTGAGCCCTCGTCGTGCGTAATCTTGTAATAGGATATGGCTCTTGATTTTTGTTGCACGATTTTGCGCCGCCGAGCCATCGGGCCGACTCTTGTGCTCTTTACGCCATGGCCATGGCGTCTTTGCTCTTCACCGCCTACGATCCGTCTTCTTTCTTTGTGTATATGGGTACGCTGGTTGTGGAGCACCGCCATGGCCGAAATGTACCACTGCTATTTTCGAAACTGGATTGAATACAAACGGATAATACGAATATTATTAGCAGCGTAAAATACGTATTTGAAAACCAAAACCAATCATCAATTGAAAATAGAAAAAAAAAGAAAAAAAAAAAACCTTTAGTCCCAGTTGGTAATACCAACCGGGACTAAAGGGCCGGCCCACGTGGCCAGGCCGGGAGGCCTCTTTAGCCCTGGTTGGTATTACCAACCGGCCGGGTGAGAAACCGGGACTAAAGGAGGGGCCCTTTAGTCCCAGATTCGTGCTCCCGGTTGGGGAACCAGGACTGAAGGGGTTTTTCAACCGGGAGTACAGCTTATTTCTGTACTAGTGTAGTAAATATTTGTAGTTTTATTATACGTTGTGATCGGAAGTGGCCTAGCACTCAATGACACAGGGTTTATACTGGTTCAGGCAACGTGTCCTATGTCCAGTTTGAGTCGGTCAGTGACTTTATTCCTGAGCCCAGGTGCTCGAAGTTTACAGTGGGGTTACAAACGAGAAGGAGAAAGATGGGGTGTACAAGAGGTCCGGTCGGCTCTGGTCGGAAGGGCCGAGAGCGACAGGAGCTACGCTATGAGCTAAGTGTTCAAGCGTGTGCTTGAGGTCCGAACCCGGCGGTTCTGTGGTTGTGAGCTAGTGAACTTGATCGATGTTTATTAACTAAAAAGGGCCCTCCTTATGTTGGAGGGAGCGCATCCTCTTTTATAGATGAAGGGGATGGCCTTACAAGTGAGAGGGATAGAGTTCGAATGCTTCTAAGCCTTGTTGCCTACGTCGATGGGTACAGGATGATGGTAGACGCCCACAACACTGTTGGATGTCAGATGCACATGGGAGGTTCCGTCATTTTGTTTGGGTATGGCAGATGTCAGTACCTGCATACACTGTTGATGCCCAGAGGCATGTGAGGAGTTTCACCATGTGCACTTGGTACGATAAATCCCGGCGCCCACAACACTGTCGATGCCTAAAGGCATGTGGGGGAGCCTTATCGTATGGGAGTTTAATGACACCCACAATACTGTAGGGGAAATGTAGGCGCCTACAACACTGTTTGTGTCAGGACGGTTGCAGAGTATTGTTCCTGCAGGTGTACAGGGTATGCTCCCTGGTATCATGGTTTGACTTGTGTGTCTTGCCCTGCTTTCTCCGCACGTCTCCTAGTCCCTACCGAATGGGCGTCCTCGGTCGATTGATCCCAGTCGGCTCTGAACGTGCCAGTCGGAGAAGAGCGGTGAGCAGGGTCTGGGCGTATCCCCGGTCGGAGAGTGCGGGGTCGGAGTCGGAAGCGGTGCTTTTGGCCAGGCCTTCCGGTCGAAGAGGCCGTCCAGAGGCGGGCTGGTGACCGAAGCGAGCGCTCTGATCGGAGAGGTCAGCCGGATCCGGAAAATAGGCGCTGTTCCTCCTCGACCTGACCTTCCGGTCGGAGATTGGATCACTCCCCCGGCCTATCACTCCGATATTTGGGCCGGCGCATGAGTTGTGCGTTATCAGTTTGGGGCGAGCCTTTGTTTGGGAAGCCGATCCCCGAGGGACCCCGGGTTTATAAACCCGACAAAAGGTTTATCCAACGGTTTCAAAAAAAATCACTCCTAAAAAATATCAAAAACCTAGTCCCACACGAAACTTTCTTAGTGACGGGGTTTTCTTTCATGGGAGATCGTGTCGCCGCGATCTGCGTCGCGGCCAATAGCCAACCAGGTCCACGCTGCCAGCAACGACCATGGCCACGGCACGAAGGAGCAGAAGGTCTAGGAAAGTGTTTTTCGGTGTGACCGTGAGTGCACGTATTTTTTCGTGGGTGGGGTTCGGTTTTTTCAAGTGCAAGAAGATTGGGAGCTGGGGTTGAAAGTTGTTGGAGATGTGTTTTATTTAATCTTGCCAAAAATCATGGATTAGGAAGGTATTTTGGGAACTCTTGGAAATGCACTTATACTCCCTTCATTCCCCAAAGAGTGTCAACCATAAAACCCCATCACCGATGGATTTTGGCACCATATCATTAACCTTTCGTGTCATCTTGACGTGCAACAACTGAAAGTACTCCCTCCATTCCGCAAGAGTGTCATTATCACTTCCTCATAAATCTAATATTTTCAACTTTGACCAAACACATAAAAGAGACTATTAATATTTATGTACATAATAAGTACCAGTAGATTAATATTTAATATATTTTTCATAATAAGCTTATCTAGAGATACAAATATTATTTATAGTTTTTATACATCAAATCAAACTTAAGAAAGTTTGACCTGCACAAAATCTTAGGTGAGTTTCTTTTTTGGATGGAAATGATACTTTGTAGTTTATTCTTCTTCTTAAACCAGAATACTCAGGGACTGTCTAGCCACCGCAGATCGAGTTTTTTACTATATGTAAATAAATCAATTTGTTTCTTTAAACAAACGATACATTATGTTGCACCCTAGAGTATTATTTTGCTCTATTATATAAATAAACTGGCAAGCTGGTTTGCGCGATAAATAGCACGTGCACCTAACTTTTTTTCTTATTTTGTTACCCCTATATAAACATAAAAACCTTACTATCGTCGTTTTTTCAACTTTTTTTTTATCAAATTAAAACAAACCCTCTGCGTACTTTACCTTTTTTTACTACCAAATACGTCTGTACATTGCAATAGTATGTGCAGCTTGTTGATAGTCACATGGACCACCCTTGCCAAAGATAATGAGCTAGCTATCTTTGTAAGATTTAAGGAAAAAGTCTACTCCACCCCCCTAACTATGGGGGTGGTCTACATAACCCCCTCAACTATGAAACGGTCTGATTTACCCCCTGAACTTTTCAAAGCCGTCTATTTTACCCCCCAGGCCGTTTTCAGCGGCGGTTTTGCTACAGTAACGGCGGGTTTGCTACAGTAGCAGGGGTTTTGTCTTTTTCTTATTTCCGTTGAATCTTTGAAAAATCATAGTAAATCACAAAAAAATCATAAAATAGAAAATCTAATTTTGTTGGATCCACATGAGTGAACATATAATATAGTATGCTTTAGTACAAAGTTTTTGCTGTAGCTTTAGATTAATTGGAAAATCTAATTTTGTCTATAATTAATTAGAATAATTCATAGCTGCAGCTTCTATGGTCCAATGATGGTGAAATTTTTATGGTAGGTTAATTATTATATGCTTAAACTATAGTAAAAATTTCATACTCATTGGACCATGTATAACTTAGTTATAGATAAATTCCAATTAATTACAGACAAAATTAGATTTTGTAATTAATATAAATCTACAGTAAAAGTTTTGAGCTAAAGTGTACCATATTATATGTTCATTGTGTAGATCTCCTCATGTGGAGTCCAACAAAATTAGATTTTCTATTTTATGATTTTTCTGTGATTTACTATGATTTTTCAAAGATTCAGCGGAAATAAGGAAAAAAGACAAAACCCCTGCCACTGTAGCAAACCCGCCGTTACTGTAGCAAAACCGCCGCTGAAAACCGCCTAAGGGGTAAAATAGACGGTTTTGAAAAGTTCAGGGAGTAAATCAGACCGTTTCATAGTTGAGGGGGTTATGTAGACCACCCCCATAGTTGGGGGGGTGGAGTAGACTTTTTCCTAAGATTTAATTGAGCTTGACCTAGCCTTATTTCAATTAAATTGAGTAAGTTCAAATTTTCATAATAAATGCTAGGTGCAATAAAACATTAATCCCGCATGGAAAATTGATCAGAGATTGATTGAACAACTTACTGATTCTAGGCACACGCATGTCTAACTATGAACCTTTTGTGGGTTTTGGTGCACCCCGGCACACCTACAAGATCTGCCTCTGTGATCTGAATATTGTAGGGCTTTATGTTTCACTTGACTTGCAATGAGATTTTCACAATGTAGAGCTCTCACTGTCAGATCTCCCTACCCTTTGGATTTTGTTTAAGGGTGCAAATTATTGTAGCAACCATGTACATGAACATCATAAAGATGACCATGCTTATGTAGTTTATTCAATAAATGCTTGCATTTGCTAAAAAAAGTTACATGTGTGCGTCTGCAGGGTCTGAATCTTTTTTTTTTCCATTTTCTCTAAAAAGATACTCACAGCATGATAACTATATGTGTGCTTCTTCCACATCATCATCATCAGCCCCGACACTTAAATCATCACAAAGTTTGCAACCCAACATTGAAAATTAGATTTGGCAACCCTACTGCTTGCAGTGATAATTATGATTACACGTACGTGCGGCGCGCGCCAAAGCGCGAATGTGACATCGAGCACTCAACAAGACACAAATCCTATAGGTGCAGGTATTTTATCGCGCTACTTAGGACGTGGCAAGTGTATCCTCCTATTACCTACATATGGCATCTTCATATACTTTATTATCCTCCACCATGCATGCAAGTATGTGACACATCATCAGACCTCTCCTTTTGCATCCTCGTGCAAAAGGATATCATCAAATGATGTCGGCACATCGAGAAAAAAAGAAAGGATTTATTCTTTGTTGTTGACAGAAGACTAAATACAGTTAAGAAATTTAATTGGGGC